TAGAAAGAAGAAACACAAGTCTCCGTAATCCTACCATTAAAATATATTTACATTTTAGTTTAGTTTTTTCTATTCTTTTTAACATACTTTAGCATAGTTTAAATAATATGATCTATAATTTACATGTATTTATATTCTACTTTTAATCTAGGGTTACTACTCTAAAAACTTCATTTTACTGCTTATATATTGTTTTATATAAATTTTTCAGTTTATTTATTCATATACCTAATGTTGTACATTCCACTCATTCCTAATGATTTACCACCCTAAATAAGACTATCAGAAATAACATCTTGCCCTGGCAAGGTAGTTCAGTTGGTTACAGCATTGTCCACATGTGTGCATGAATAAGTGGAACAACAAAGAGAGAGAGAGAGAGAGAGAGAGAGTGTGTGTGTGTGTCTGTGTGTGTCTGTGTGTATGTCTGCGTCTCCCTCCCTTCCTCTCCCTCCCTTCTTCTCTTTTTTTAAAATCAATAAATCAAAAAGAAAAGAAATAACATCTTTGGGAAGCTCCCATCTTTTAAAGCTAAGTTTTCCAGACTTTTGTGTAAATGTTATGAGAACTTAGGCTTTTATTAGAGAAAATAGTCATATAATTTATATAGAGTTGGGGTTAAAATTTGAAAAAAATATATGCATCGCCCAGTCACTATTCTAGTTATAAATAATACCTAGCTAGGTAATAAAAGAATATATGCCCAAATGGAATTTGATAATGAGAGACCTGTTGCATAGACTTTTCAAAGCTGGACTTAGGCAGACTGTTGAGTAGGTCTTTTCTATGAATTTTACCATTTGTCAACTTTTAGTCTTGCTACCTTCCCTTCTTGAAAGTACCCTTGGATTAAGTACAGAAGACTTGACCGGCTGCCTCCCCACTATCAATTAATTATTTGAAGATCCCACCCTTCCTGTGTGGGACCTTTGATGGAGCTAAGTTTTTGTAATTTCCTTCTGGTATCAACATAATGGATTGTGGGAGGAGGGGAGAGAAGACGATTTGCTTCTTTCCCTTTTCTTTAGGAATGATTAATCTGCTTCCTCTTTTCTTTCTTTCTTTCTTTTTCTCTGATATCTTTCATGCATGAAAACTCCCTTGATTCAGAATTTCTTTCAGGAAGCACTTACCTAAGCAAAGAATGTGTGGGAAGAATTTTATCAACACTTTATTTTAATCAGTTATAGGTGTTGCTCTTGAATAATAGCTAAAAGTTGAGTTTCCAGAGCACTCCCAGACTAGTCTCCACCACAAATGCCTAATAGTATGACTTCAGAGTTCTCTCCCATGTACATTATCAACAGCATAAAGATTTTAATCCTATTGATATGACTTATGCTATATGCAAGTAGAAAGCATCCAAAGAATGAAACGTACAAAGAAAAGCAGTCCAATGGGGGCGGGGGGGGAGGGGTGACGCCAATCAAATGACATATATAAAGTGATGAAATTAAATACAAAAAAACCTCAACTCCCGATTGAAAATACTATACTCAGTGCAAATATCCTTCAAAAATGATGAAATAAAATTATCCAAGTTGGAAGCATAGAACTGAAGAAGAAAAGGAAGAGTACCTGAGAAAGCAAATATAAAATAATATTGTTTATTAAAACAACAACAATGTTTTCTGTTATGTGTATATAGAAAAATATAACAGCAGAGTTGAAATGTTATAAAATTCTTGCATTGTCTAGTAAATAGTAAAAGTACTAACTTAATGTAGATTATAGTAAGTCAAGAATGCACAGAACAAGTCAAATAGAAAATAATAGCAAAATGGTAGACCTAAGCCCAACTGTGTCAGTAAAAACATAAACTGTAAATGGACTAACCATGCTAAAAGGCAACAATTGTCAAACTAGATAGGAAAAACAAAGTCCAGCCGTGGCTGGTGTGGCTCAGTGGGTTGAGTGCCAGCCTGCAAACTGAAGGGTCGCTGGTTTGATTCCCAGTCAGGGCACACGCCTGGGTTGTGGACCAGGTCCCCGGTTAGGGGCATGCTAGAGACAACCAATTGATGGGTCTCTCATACATCGATGTTTCTCTCTTTCTCCCGCCTTTCCTACTCTCTAAAAAATAAATAAAATATTTAAAAATCAAGACTGAAGTGTTATTAGAGTGTTATAGGGCATTTCATAATAAAAGGATCTATTTAACAGGAACATATAACTCTAAATTTGTATATATTTAATAACATAGCTTTAAAGTATATCAAGCAAAAATTAATAGAACTAAAGAGAAATCCACTTTCATTGCTAGAGATGTTAACATGCCTATCTCAATAACTGATAGAACAAGCTGACAACAAATCAGAAAGAATGTTATTGATTTCTACAATGTGATTACCCAACTTGACCTAATTGGCATGTATAGAACAACTACGCTCAATAATTGCACAATACACTTCCTGTCCCAGTGCACATGGAACATAATATATTATAAATCTTGAAAAAATAACTGCAAACTTTTATATTTAATGTAAACTATATCTGAAACGAAACACAGGGAGACTGTCACAAGTCTTTTGTAGGAAAACTGTGTTTTAGTAAGAAACACTGGAACGATGCCATGGTTTTCTCGTTAATTTTTCTTCAACAATGTATTAGGTTACAGGTGTACAGAGAATGTCTGCCTCTATCTCTCTTAACATGTACATGGTATCAGGTTTCCAGATAATAATCTGGGGTTGGGTTTCACAAACCTGTCTGTCATAAGAATCACCTGTGAAGATTTTTGAAAACAGATTCCTAGGTCCCACCTCCTGTAGATTCTGTATTTTGAAAAGGTGACTGGGCTGATTCCAAAGTATTTGAACAGATCTGGGAGTTACTGAAATAATGTTCTGTTTGTTATATGGAGAGGGAGGGGATGGAAGAGAAGGAATATGAAAATATAAGTATGAATTAATAAATTTGGGCTAATAACTGGGTCAGGACTGGGTGTGGCTGAATTCTACACGAGGCAAGAGGCATATCCACTTCTAAAAGTTTTATAAACGTGAAAATTGAGCACATTTGCCTGGCCAGGTGGCTCAGTTGGTGGGAACATCGTCCTGAACACCACAAGGCTACCGGTTCCATTCTCTGTTAGAGCACATACCTAGGTTACAGGTCTGATCTCTAGTCAGGGCGTGTATGGGAGACAGCCCATTGATGTTTCTCTCTCTCTCTCTCTCTCTCTCTCTCACTCACTCACCCTCTTCCTCTCTCTAAAAATCAATAAACATATTCTCAGGTAAGGATTTAAAAAAAAAAATTAAGCGTATTTGTGTAAACCATCAAAGGAAAAAAAACTGCTCTTTTCGCTAAGTATTCTGTGACTTTCTTTTTTTTAATTTTTAAAAATATTTTTATTATTTATTTTTAGAGAGAGAGGAAGGGAAGGAGAAAGAGAGGGAGAGAAACATCGATTAGTTGCCTCTCTCACATCCCCAACTGGGAACCTGGCCCGCAACCCAGGCAGATGTCCTGACTGGGAATCGAACCTGTGACCTTTCAGGTCACAGGCCGGCACACCAGCCAGGACTCTGTGACTTTCTTTACATAAAGAAGTAGGAGGGCTATTCGTAGAGATAGATATAACAGTGGACACATTGATTTTTTAAATCATAATCTGTTATTTTCCACACACGTGCTATTTAATATAAATAGAACTTGTTTTTGGTTCATATGCTAGCAGGCATAAATGTATTTGAAAGTATATCATGATTTTGTTGTTTTGCATATATAAGAGAAAGAGGACACATAAGTATATCGTTCAATATAATGAAGAATTAAAAGGGATGAAGTTCTACTTAAGAAAATGAATAAACATCTGAGAAGATAGTGGAAGCAGGTCAAATTGGCTATATTTCATTTGAGGACTTTGCAGAGACTTTTTTGTGCATATGCTATCATCTAACATTCCTAAAGCTTTAATCGTTTTTTTCTTTGAAAAAATATCGTATACTACTAATAACATGACTTTTTCATATTGTTAGTCTGTTTTTGTTTTGTTTTGTTTTGCTTTGGGTTTTGTTGTTGTGGTGGTTTTAATCTATCCCATTTCTCTTAACCAAACAAGCATTTTCCTATGTTTTTTAGAGGCAAAGTTTACTCAGTGGATGGGTTAGCAGGACATTTCAAGTTTTAGTGCCTCCTTGCCTCTGCAAGTAAGGCTACGATTTGAGAATGAGCAGCTTATGTTACTTAGCTCCATTTCTGAAAGGGTTATCATTAATATATGTTAAATACTATGATACTAAGAATGCTCTGAAATGTCTTGAGGTCTTATTGACATTCTGTAACTGAGATAAGACTGTCTTAGTTAAAGCACTAACTCCTAAAAACACCACCACGTATTCACTCTCGAGGAAGAGTGTTAAGACAGGCATTCTTCATGTCTCTGGCAACTAAACTTTTTGAAATGTGGTCCACTGTTATAATCAGATTACATTTCATTTCATGTAAGGAATTAAAATAGTTGAGACCCTTGCATGGCTTTAACTAAATCATGCAACTAAGAAGAAAAGAGTTACTGTCCTCTGTCCTCTTGATCTGCTGTACTTCAGTAACCAGGACGCTATTTCACCCTAAGTCATCTGGATACATCAAAATAATGTATGAGCAGCCACTGCTACAGTCACTCTGATAATTACAGCTGTATAATTCTGACCTTCATCAGTGGACTTTCCTAGACTCACAACTAATCAATTGAAAAAGGTTGATTTTGATAGTGTTTGTAAAAAAAAAAATCAATGCCTGTTGCTTGTGTATTTTCTCTTATGAAAATATATCTACAGTATTAAAAAATTTTTTAGTGAATTTCTTATGTCCCTTTATATCTCCCCCCAAAAAGCATTGTTTGCTCCAGATGTGAAATTGTTTACAATAAACATATTCACTTATTACATGTGATAATACAGTATGTGGTCCTTGCTGTATTTCTATAAAGTAAAGGTTCCACTTTAATTCCGAGACTGTTATTCCACATGATTCTTTTTTTTCTTCTCCTCTAGACTTCTCCAGAGAACCCTGAGACAGTAGGTGGAGTGCAAAGCTATATTGTGTTGCCTTCCTGCTTTTTTTTTTGTTGCCTTCCTGCTTTTTTAAATTTATTATTATTCTTGGCCCAGTCTTGGCTGCTATTTTCTCCGCCACTAAAGCTACCTAACTAAACCCTGCATGTATAGTCATTATGAGGGACTTACGTATGGTCTTTCATTTCAGTCCTGCACATTTATCATGTCCATTATGTTTCTCCTGAAATCCTTAAAATCAGGATTGTTCCTAAAACAATATTTTGATAAGCAAGCTGGAATCTCACCTCTACTTTCCAAAAAAATTCTCTTCCGTTTTAAACCACTCTCTTTTACACCCATGCCCTCCACCCCAGGCCCCTTCCAGTGTTCCAGCGCTCCCCAGGGTCTTCTGTAGACAGAAAATAATCTGAAAAACAGATGCAAGTAAGGTGTTAACACTTCATGTGTCACTCCCTCCCTGAACTATTTATATCCTGAAAGAGGAGGACAGAGAGAGGGCAGTGTTTAACAAAGAAGAATGGCTCATTCGCAAACGGTGGACTCCCCTGCCTCAGTGACACGGTAGAGAGCAGCGTTAGCTGACGAAGGCTTCCCCCACGTCCAAAGCGTGAGGATGGCAACAATAACCGGCGGCATGGGGCAAGGTCTCGTGCGTACTGGGACGATACCCACATTTGTGTGTGTTCCTTTAAGACATTTTTGAGCTGGCTATGATCATCTCATCGAAGTTTTGTCCTAAAATGATGTCAGCTTGGTTTGGTTCCTTTTTCTCCTCAGTAATTTATCTGTTATGGATTTTGATATTTGGTGTCCCTGTGATGTCAAGGAGTCTGAATGTCTGTCTGCATGATTGTTTATCATTGCTCTGATCCTTTCCAACTACCTCAAGAAGAGAGGGGCAGGGACAATTTGAGATTACACCAAAATAACACATTGGTTATCTCTTCCCTCTCTCCCTCTCGCGTGTAACAGAAGAAGCCGACCAGCCCACTGCCGACGCAGGCATGATCATGGACAGCGTGGAAGCAGGGGGAGACACGACGCCTCCCACGAAAAGGAAGAGCAAGTTCTCAGGCTTCGGCAAGATCTTCAAGCCCTGGAAATGGAGGAAAAAAAAAAGTAGTGATAAATTCAAAGAGACATCAGAAGGTGACATATTAAGATTTAAGTATATGTTCTGAGTTAAAGAGTTCCCTGTTTTTGGAAGTACCTTTTTCGTTCTTTTCTCAAGCTTCGATAACCCCCTATTAGAAGGGGGAATTGAATCTTTTAGAATGAAAAACCAAGCAGTCACTCACTAAGCCTTGTATACTATAGCCTCATTCCCACATTGGTATTTTGATGGGATTAAAGTTTATCAAGTGGTAAATGGGGTTCCTAAACTGTAGCAAATGTAAGACCCTGGCCACTTCCTCCCAAGAAAGTTCATTCATAAATACCTTATTATTGAAATTTTAATTTAAAAAAAGATTCAATTATATAAGGATAGTTCTTTTTGGAAATGCTATTTTCCTAGTAGCTCAGCATGTGAGAGAAATTAAGTTTTTAAATTTAAAGTTAGTTTTCCTGTTCTGTTCTTTCCAGAGGCTAGAAAATTGAACTACTTTATACTTTTACCTGTGGAGTTAGAATGCTTAAAATTGACCTTTAACTGCCACATTTCTGAGTACTATTTTCCAATTTAATGTTAGTTTTAGAGCGAAAAATATCTATGCGAAAACCAAGAGAAGAGCTGGTTAAAAGAGGGGTTCTGTTGGAGGACTCTGCACTGGGTGAGTTTGCAGACATACACTTGTCTCTGTATAACTGGTCTTTGGTTCCGACGAGGTATGTGACTTCTCTTTTCTTTATTATTGCTGTCATGGTGTGTGGCGGGGGGCGGGGAGGCAGGGGGTGCTGCTTAACAAAACAAAAATTGTTCATACGTCTTGAATATGTTTTTTAAAAATGTCTATTAAAAAAGAAAAAGACAACTCAGTAGAAAAGTCTACAAAAGCTTCAAAGCATTGAATTCGCTACATACAGATGCCCAATAAACAAATAAAAAAGTGGGTTTTTTTTATTTCATTAGTAATTAAGAAATACAAACTTAAATCAAAATAAAGTAATCCTACATATAAACTAGAAAACCTAAAATTAATCAAATGACTAAGAACAAGAGTTGGTGAAGGTATGAAATGGGTGGAATTCACATACAACTGTTTGTAGAAGTGTTAAAATAGAATAATTACAGAACTTGGTATATATCCAACAAAAATACATGTAGATCGAGACATGTACCAATATATTGGTAGCAACAGTATTTACTAACAGTAGAGCAGAATTGATAACAACCCAAATGCCCATCTTGTAATACATTTATAAAATGTAATACTTACACAGCAATGAAAACAAACTACACCTACCTGCCATAATATGAATCTTATAAGTAATATTGAGCAATTAAGTCAGTTATAAAAGAATATATATCATTTCTATAAATGTAAAGGAAAAACAGGCAATATTAAACTACAGTGTTTGGAGATGGATCCTTAAAATGTTAACCTATAATTTAAAAAAAACAAGGAAAGGATCCTCACAAGAGTTAGGAGAGTGATTGCTTTGTGAGAGAAGGAAAGGTATGTTACTAGGGAGAAAAGGAGGCTTCTGGGGTCTGGAAACTCCTTCCCTTCCCTCCCCTTCCCCTCCTTCCTCCTCCCCTTTCCCTTCCCCTTCCCTTCCCTTTCCTCCTCCCCTCCTCCTCTCCTCTCCTCTTCTTTTCTCTTCTCCTCACCCAAGGACATTCTCATTTTTTAGAAAGAGGGGAAAAGAGGAAGAGAAAAAGGGAAAGAAAACATTAGTATGAGAGAGAAACATCTACCAGCTACCTCTCACATGCACCCCAACCAGGGACAAACCCACACCTAGGCCTGGGCCCTGACTGGGAACTGAACCCACGACCTTTCGGTTTACAGGACAATGCTCCAACCAACTCAGCCATACCAGGCAGGGCTGGAAACATTTCTTATAGTCCGTAATGATCACACAACTGTTCCCCTCATAATAGTTCACTGAAATTTATATTTCTGTTCTATACATCTTTCTCTACTGGTGTTATATTTGATGATGAAAAGATATTTTTGTAGAATTCAAAGTCATGTCATCTATTATTTATTTAAAGAAGGCAAATATTTTTGTGGGAATTAAAATTTCTAATAAATGGAAGATGAAAACATAAAAATAACTGACTTTTTTATATAGAATCTCAAGTTAGAGGTATAAATATGAAATGATTTTATTTCTTTTAAAAGTTACCTTCTAATTTTCTTTATTAAAGTCCATTTTCTTGCTGGGTAGGGGAGCTATTCACCTTCTCTTCCATGTCTCAGTTATCCCTGAAACTGAGTGGTTGATGAGGGACCCTTGGGGCTGACATTCTCTCTCAGCACATCCTCCGCTTTGTTCTATCCACAGGACTGTGTCGTTTCTCTCTCTTTTGACCAGATTTGTCTCATGCCCACATTGCTGCCCTAATCTTCTGTTTGTCTGTCATAAAGATCATGTTTTGGTATTTCAACACTCACTGCTGGTTTGGTAATGTTAGGACTTTCTCCAATGTGTGACTTTTAGGAAGCAGCTTATTGGAAGAGTTAAGACTATATAGTACAGTGGTTGCATTTCATTTCATTAGAGTGACTTTGCATGAGACAAAAATTTGAAAACCGAGTTTTAAAATATATCCTTTGGATGATGGGAGAAAGAAGCCAAACTGATGGAGTATTATACTTTTTAGGTTTTGAACCATGTGAATGTATTCCTTACTCACACAATTTAATTAAATTATATATATTAAAGATTTATTATCTCAACTATATAAAAACTAAGCAGAGGAAACAAGCTGGAAGGAAAAAATACTAAAATAATAGCATTGGTTACCTCTGAATGTTGAGATGAGAATATAGGGGCTTTTTTCTTTCTGTTTTTCTCAGTTTTCTACGTGGTTAGTTATGAGCACGTGTAACTTTTGTTTTCTCATGAGTCTGTTTTTTACAGTAGGACACAAAATCTTCTAGGTATTTGAGTGGTTAACTGCAGTCACGACGCCTCCATTGCCGCACCGTTGGCCCTTGCTTTTCTGACAGTGGCCATCCCTCGCTCCCTGCCCTCGCCCGCCTCTGGCCATCGTTGCTCACTCACCGCAAACCCCGTTCCTTGCTTCCTTCTTATTTTTCGCCTTCATTCAGTCTCTTTTGTCCTATGATTCCTATTGTCCTTGGATATAAGTTGTTTTTAGCTGAGAGGCTCAAAGGCCCAGGTGATAAATGAGTCGTAGCCGTTGGACAAGATGTCACTTTCCTAACCAGAGAACTGGCCTAAGCTTTATTCTGTAAGAAAAGCCCAAGAGATGAGCCTCAGGGCTTGACTTATGTATTTCCAGTTTAAGCCAAAAGCAGTGTTTGAACCTTAAAGGTTTTTGGGGTTTTTTTTCCATACTTCAAGAGTGCTTTTGGCTTGATTATGGTTCTAACTTGACTATATAATAAGATACTTAATAGATTTTCTGAGTGGGGGGCATTCATAGGCATTAAAGCCAGATAATACTTCTGCTCCATTGTGTTAGCATTGCAGAAACCCTTTGCATTAAATGTAAGAAATTTCACTTAAAGGTAGGCAACTCTGATTAAATAACTTGAAAGAGAACTGCTCAGCTTTACATGTATTTTACTAGTGTGTGCTAAGTAGAAACCAGTTAATAATGTGTCTTAACCTTTCACTATATGGTTTTCGAAAGTCTTCATTGGTGTTGAAATGATTCATTGCTTTATATTCTGGAACTGTTTTTGTGAAAGCTGGCTGATATTAACATAAGCAATAACTTACATTTGCACAATTGTCATCTTGCCCCCTCCCTTTTTTTTTAAAAAAAAAAGTAGTTGTCAGAATACCTTAGCTTTAGAAGTATGTTTTTATTTAGTGCTCATTTGCCTTAATCTCTTCACTACTTTTAGCCCAAGCTCTACCTCTTATTTAGGCTGCATGAAGAATGATACTGTCTAATCTCCTAGGAAGTGGCAGGTTGGGGTGAGGGAGACTGGTTGGTCCATGAGAGCTTGGAGGGCTAACTCAGGAGACACTAAAATGATACTACCCCGAGTGCCTCAGTATGGAAAGCAAAGGAGGACACCATCTAGAGAGCAGCTAGTTCCAGTCTCCATACTAGCAGATGAATCAGAGCTTTTAGTCTCTAACCTAAGGGTTTTTTGTTTGTTTGTTTGTTTTATTTTCTCTTCCAAAGGAGTCTAGAAAAGCTCAGCAGTGGCTGGGAATGTTTGTCCAATTGCTCCATGAAGGAATCTTACCTGCAATTTTCATAGTGATGAATGGTCTCCCCAAAGCCCCCAGCCTAGTGATTATTCCTGCAGTTTAGTTTGTAGGAATTTATCACACGTATGGTGTTTACCTCTGATCCCTCTGTCAGCTCTGCCCCTTGCTCTCCAGTCCCAGTGCCCGCAAGCACCTGCTGCTGTTTTCCACCTATGTTCTAACAGTAGCTCATTGTTAGTTTTCCTGGTCCAGTCACTGCCCGGTGAGTGCATCCTCTTCACAGCCCTGAGTTAACCTCCTCAAAGACAGAACAGATCAGATCTCTCTTCTACTTTAATTCATTGGCCTCCTGTTACCTACAGGATTCTGTCCAGGTTCTTTTACATGGCATTTGGTATCCTTCTTAGCCTGGCTCTTGCTTGTCTCTCCTGTCCTATTTGTAACTTTTTCTTATATGCATCTCTTCTCCTGCCAGACCTAACTAGTTGCCAGTTCCCAAACATGTTGAATAATTTCACACCTTCATACATGCTGTGCTGTTCCTCCCTCCTGGACAGACTCTTTCATCATCTTGTTATTAGTCTCGTAGGCTCCTACCCGTTCTTTAAGACTCAGTTTAAATATTTTATGTTTTTATTTTAGAGAGAGGGGGAGGGAGGGAGAAAGAGGAAGAGAAAGAAACAGTGTGAGAGAAACGTCCATCGACTGCCTCTCACACACTACCAGCAGGGGGACCTGGCCCACAACCCAGGTATGTGCCCTGCCCAGGAATGGAACGGACAACCTTTAGGTTTGTAGGATGATGCCCAACCCCTTGAGCCACACCAGCCAGGGCAAGGCTCAGTTTAGTTACTACTTTCTCTAAAGCTTTTCTAACCCCATTCTCACCCCAAGATAATTATTTCTTCTTTACTCCTACCACTTCATCCATTATAGCTCTTAACATTTAGCATTGTAATTGCTTATGTATAATAAGTCTGTCTTATTCATGTAGCAAGGCACCTGGCACATAATAGGCAATCAAATGTCTATTATAAAAAGGAATTATTTAACTTCCAATACTCCTATAAAGATCCAAATCATCATCATCATCATCATCTAGTCTAAATAACAAGCTAAAAAGGAAGAAGGGGAAATGGGATAAGATAACCATACCAGTTTCATCAGTTTGCTCCTTTCTTTTGGACCCTGCAGATGGTGAGGACCCAGGGAAGCTGAACCATGCCATGTTGAAGAATGGCCATACCACCCCCATAGGGAGCACCAGATCTTCTAGTCCAGTCCAAGTAGAAGAAGAGCCAGGAAGAGGAGCAGGTCTTGGGAAACCTGTTCCAGAAGAGGACCCAAAGAAGCGCCTAGGTAAGAAATTGGATTTTTGAGTTTATGAGCCATGGATCAGTCATTCTTGTTTTACCTCAGGGGTTTTTGAGAGCAAGGGGAAAAATAAAATCCAGAGGGAATTCTGTTCTCTAGAAATTTCTCGGCTAATTGTAACTTTAAGTAGAGCCTGCATCCCATTATTTCATTCACAAAGTATCTAAATTTGTGATTCACAAGAATGGAAGAGGATGTTAAATATTAGAAACCTGCAGGGCTTTTTTTTTTTTTTAATTTATTATTTTATTGTTTTTTATTTTTAGAGAGAGGGGGAGGGAGAAAGAGAAAGAGGGACACATCCATCAGTTGCCTCTTGCACACCCCCAGTGGGGGACCTGGCCTGCAACCCTGGCATGTGCCCTGACCAGGAATCAAACTAGCAACCTTTTGGTTTTCAGGACAATGCCCAACCCACTGAGCCACACCAGTCAGGGCCTTGTAGGACCTTTTTAAGCTACACATTTTTCCTCCTCTGCCCAAGGGATTCTGATGTGCCTCCTCCTAGCTCTTGTGTGAAGAATCACTATAATAACAAGTCTCTTTTACTGATTGAGAAAGTGTCAAATACATTAAGTATTTGATGTTGGAAAAATTTTGCCTGGAACCTAATCTATAAATTAAATAATGGACTAATTTGACTATAAGTCGGTAAATGTATTAGCTTTTTGAGTCTATCTTGTTACTCTTGTCCCTTTTACTATACAGGCTCAACTGGAAGCCAGCCTAATTCTGAAGCAGAGTCCGTTCCTGAGAATGCACCCAAGCAGCCTTTACTTCCCCCTAAAAGGCCACTGTCCTCTTCTTATGAAACAAATGAAGGACAAGCAAAGGATGCCACTTCCTCTGGCAGCACAGCAAGGTCCATGTCCTCCACCTCCATCGCCGCCGCTACCATAACACCTGCTGCCACTGCCACCGTCACAAACCTACCAAAAACTGTTATTAATTCCTCTGTCCCCCCTTCCCCAGCGCCCAGGACTCTGCCTGCTGCTCCTGTGAGCACTAACACTACTGCTACCCCGAGCCTCCCTCAGACAGTCCCTGCCAAGCAGCCCCCTATCCCTCCCCCTAAACCAACAAACAGAAATAGCAACCCTGTCATTGGTAAGTAAGTCTTTAGGTTTACATTGGGTTGGGTTGGGTTGGGTTGGGTTGGGTTGGGTTGGGTTTTGGATGGTGTTTTACTGGATAGCTGGTCCAATAATGCTTTGATCTATAACAGTTTTCATATCTTACCCCTTTGAATGCACTCAATGTAGAGAAAAGTCTTGAAAGTGAGGCAGGTGACCATGAATGAAGCGGGCTGAGATCAGATACCACTGAAATTAGGTTCAAGTGTGGGGGAATTTCTATATTCGGAAAACAGTGTTTCTGAAATGCTGCCGATAGTTGGGGGACTGGATGTGTGAAGACCATAACAGGTTTGACCAGTGTGAAGAAGAGGTTTTTAACCTACTTTAAACCATCAGTGCATTTCTTCAGCATAAGCCCAATAGATGAAAAGATGATTGTATAGATGCCAGTATAGCTTGTAATTCAGTGTCTGACATAATATCCTCAAGGGGAACTGCAGGAGATAGTATTTAAATTGTCCTGATAAAATTATATTTTATCTTGGGAGAGTTAAGAATGATACTCATTGTAAAATTACTGGTGGAAGAGAGAAAGGGAGGATAATTGGTTTTAGTAAACTTTTTATATTTACCCGATGTCCTTTTTAGGTCTGCTTTCTTTACATAAATGCAAACCTTCTTAGAGAAATTTCAAGAAAGGGAGAAGAGAAAGGAAGATAGTTTTTCAGGAGAAATGATACTAGGCTTAGTACTGCTTCAAGTTCTTGTTAATGATTGGAGGAAGAAAAAGTATGGTTGTTGAGTGATTAATACCATCAAGTTATGTGGGGTAACTAGAACCTTGAAAAACAGGCTTAGAATTCATTGTGAGTATGACAGGTTGGAGTAGCTTGATAAAAACAGGATGAAGGTCATTATTATTATCACCACCTTGGGTAGATATTGCCATGTTGACTTATCTCCAAGGAACTAGAGCTTTCATATATACTTATTTTCAAAATCTCCTTGTGAAGTAGGGGACTGATTTTATCTATTATGCAGTTAGGGCAATTAGAACGTGAAGAAGCTGTGACTCCTTGAGGTTGCACTTACTGAAAGACAGAAGTCAAACATAGGCTCTCCAGCTCTTGAGTCCAGACCTCTGTTTTATACACCTGTGTTTGCAAATGGTTGTCCACACGGGTGTTCTCATCGCAGTCACCTGGAGGGCTTGTTAAAATACAGATTGCTGGGCCCTGCCCTTAGAATTTCTGATTCAGTAAGTCTGGGGTTGGTCCTGGGAATTTGCATTTCTAGTAAATTCCCAGGAGATGCTGATGCTGCATATACAGGGACCATACATTGAGAACCACTACTCTAAGCCAGTAGTATACGCCACTCTTTTCAGGGTGGACAGCATAAAAAAATGGCATTATGTGTATTATATATCCTGGGCAAAACTGCAGAGGCCACTCTTGGCCTAAGGGGAACAGCCCAAAGAAACAGGCCCTGTGACTGCAGAATCACTGTCAGCCCATTAGTGGTCCTTAGCAGAAGGAGAAAAATAGGACAGTTCACAGAGTTTTTATTAAGGTTAAATAGATTTGATTTAAAGGACTGTCCTTTATTCTGAAATTATGACCTTATTCTTTGGTGTTAAAAGGCCATATCTTTCATGAAAGGATCATATTTGTAAATGGTATATTTGATATCAAACTTTAGTTGGAAATATTAAAAACGGCAGCCTAAGGTTGGTTGAGAATTTCTTTTTAATTGTATTAGTCCATGAAATCTAAACATCTGGAAACCACTGCTGTAGGCACTGCTGCATCTACTAGTGGGCATAACATTCTTAAGACTGCGACTAATAGGAGTATTAGGTCTCAGGAAGGAATATCATAAGTAGCTGAACAGAAGAAGGAAATCTGTTACCCCTCCAATGAACGTTTTTGGCATCTTTCGCACAGAACTTCAGCCAAATCCCATTGTCAGGGTATATGTACCAGAGTTGACTTCCTTAACATGTTCAGGTATATGTTTTCCTTAAACTACTAACGGTAGTTGACCTTACCAATTCAAATACTGAAGAAGTCAAATTTGGTCTTGTCAGAGGAGGGTTTTGTTGTTGTTGGAATAGCTAACTGCTATTTTTAGAGAGGCAGCAAAAGTGCAGTCTCCCCAAAAGTATCTTTTTCATTGATCCTAAAATTCACACTTTTTATTCTTTTTTTATGTGTATACAATGTTTTTCTAGAAAGTCCTCTTAAAAATATACTTACAATGAGTGACATTAAAACATCAGATTACCTAGCCTTTTACTTTGAATGCTGCCCATGGAATGGTATTTAAGGCAAGTAAATTTATATTTCAGGGAACCTTGAGACATGGATTCGTGTGAACAATTGGTAGGCCCAAAATAAGAAGTTGGGGAAAGGATTAGAGGTTGGTGGTCAGGAGAGGTACTATTGAATTATTTTGCAAGGTTGGCCTCTGTGCGAGGTGATGATCTACTTCCTAAAGGCCATTTGGAGCACTCCCAAGGGACTGTCCTGAATCAACACCTGACTCACTCTGGGCTGACTAGGGTTATATACTGTCATGACATATAGGGTAGGGACCCCCATCTATTAACATGTATGAGGACCCACTATGTGCCAGGGACTGTGCCGAGCTCTGTGGATATGCTGATGGAGAAAAGGGTTGCCCTGTCTTCAAGGAGCCCATCCTATAGTGGGGTGGGAAAGTGGGGGTTGCACAGATAGGACAACAGGAGGAGTGGGCACTAATAAAAATCAAATAGGGTGGGATCCGGAGGATGGAGCCCAGGAACGAGCCCTGGCAACTAGCTGAACCTTTGCCAGTTTATAGTATGATCTTGGGCAAGTCACCTCACTTCTGAGGTATTTCCTCCTTTAAAATTATAAAGGTACTCTCTTACACAAGGAGAATATGAAGTCAAGGATAGAAAACTACTTTGATTTCTTCAAAGCCCTTTGCATATGCTATAAAAATCCAAAATGTCATTACTGATAGTTTCATAATACAGAGCCAAGAAATCTAGACATCACCATCAGGGTATGGCAACAATGCCTGATAGTATTTGTTTTTATTGCTATCTGCATGTTTAAATTTAACAGAGTACTTTTAGCCAAAAGAAAACGTAATTGCATTTTTTTTCTGTCTCTGTTCTTAGTAACTTTATCTTCACCAAGATCATCATAAAAAGTTGGCATATCTCTTATCAAAGAAAGACATTTCTTGTCAGAGTATTAGGGTAGTGGTCTTCCTGTACCTCTGTACATTTATTACACCACATAGATACTGAAATATAAATTCTGTTTTAGAATGAGATATCTAGGGAATGACAAAGCCATGAAATGCGGAGTTTTACCTGAAACATTAAGATTGATCTCAACTCTAATTCTAGGCCCTGGACTGGCCCCCAGAGCATTGTAAAGCCATCTTAAATTAACGTGTTGCTCTCTCTTTTCCAGCAATAAACAGTGGTACATTGTTATCAAAACCATCCCCACCCTTACCACCTAAGAGAGGCATCCCATCAACCTTGGTACCCACCTCAGAGTCTGCCATCCCCACCACCACCACGAAAGCTCCAAGCGATCACAGAGAGAAGAGCACATGTTCTGTGGGTTCTGAACAGCTGATGATGATCCCACCTCGCTCTCCGTCCCCCCCACTGCCTACTCATATACCTCCAGAGCCCCCACGGTCCCCTCCATTCCCTGCTAAGACTTTTCAAGTTGTGCCAGAAATTGAGTTTGCACCTTCCTTAGATCTACCCCAGGAGGTTCTCCAGCAGGAGGACCAGAAAAAGGAAGTGCCCAAGAGGATGTTGGATCACAGCTTTGGGGAGCCCCATGTACCCTCTAGGCTGCCCCCACTCCCACTGCATATCCGAATCCAGCAGGCCCTCACCAGCCCACTTCCCATGATTCCTTCCTTGGAGGGCTCTCACAGAGCTCATTCGTTGCTCTTCGAGAACAGTGACAGCTTTTCTGAGGACAGCAATACCCTGGGTCGTACCAGGTCACTTCCCATCACTATTGAGATGCTGAAAGTGTGAGTGCCTTTAAAGCTTGCCTCTGTTTCCTCTGCTTTACTTTCCTTTTCTAGTTAACCCTTCTTGGAAAAACATTTTTAAAAAATGTAAACAAATTTAAAGTAAGAAGAATACTCAACAAATAAGACATGTTCTAGAATTTGGACTTTGTTTACCCTGCTGATTTCTATAACATTGTTTCTATGGAAGACAATCTCATGATGATACAAAAATGACAAATTTTTGTACTTGAAAACTAAAACCACTGTATTTTTTGATACTTGTTGCTTAAGAGCATTGACTTCGGAGTAAGATAGCTCTGGGTTCAAATCCCAGCTCAACCTATTATTTAAAAGCTTGTAATAGTGTGTGTTACCTAACCTTTCTGTTCTTCAGGTGTCTAATCTGTGAACAGGAATAATACATATTTACATAGCTGTGTGAGAAGGAAGTTATACAAACCCAAAAGGACTAATGCCTGACACATAAGCTGGATAGAAAGGGGACAGAAAGAAGTCTAGAGAAAATGAAGGGAGGTCTGAAAGCAAACTTAGTATTCCAGCCCCAAAGACTGGAACTGGTCATCTTATTCTCTCCCTCATCTGTCCCCAAACACTGAATCTGCTCACACCAGCATTGGTCTAACACCTACTCTGTCTTTTCAAAATTCCAACAAATTGCGACCGAAGATTAATGCCCTTTGGCAAGTTGGAGGTGCGCCTTACTAACTAAAAGAATTACTATCGCGCTGTTGCAGCATCCCACTTGCTATTTGTTTTGCCATTACTTTGTACTTGCTGTTATATTTATTTCATATTCTGGAAAGAAACCATTTAGATTGTAATTTAAGATTAAGTCATAGTTTTATGTCTCCAGAGTGTAGAGTGTAAAGGGGGAAGGTTAGTTTTCACCTTCCCTTCTGTTTCCTGACATTAAATTATCATTTTGTCCTACTGCATTGTTAAACCTAAGGGAAATGGGTTAAATATTTGTATTAAGTATCTTCCATGACCCAGGAATGGTGTTAGGCGCTGTGCAGCCCTCTCATTTAGTCAGTCCAAGGCAAACTAGCAGCGGCCATGTATATCATCAGGGCCTTGTATGCCAGGCACAGTGCATTCTAGAATTTGTCTATTTCATCCTCACAACAAGCCAGTGCAGTAGGTATCATTCCCATTTACAGAAAAGTTAAGTAATGTAGAAGCTAATAAGTTGTAGAGCTAGAATTTGAACCCAGAGCTTTTAGATACTGCTAGAATTTTTTTTAGCAAGATTGTTAAAGGAGTGAATCCTAAATTATTTTATTCATGGACTTTTCCATAGAGAGTCAGTATTTTGCCTTGCAAATCAGTTGTCCTTTGTGTTTCTGAAAGGAAAATATAATTATGTTAATTTGGTAGTCCAGACGATGAAGAAGAGGAGCAGACACATCCATCTGCATTCAGTGAAGACATGCCACCTACCTCAGCCGTCCCTAAGCTGCCGCAGTGTCTGCAGGAGGAAGAGGAAGAGAAGGAGAGTGACTCAGACTCAGAAGGTCCCATTCAGTACCGAGACGAAGAGGATGAAGATGAAAGCCAGAATAGTAAGAAGGGAGGGAAAGGCAAAGGAGAGGCTTACAGATAAAGCTACTAGATGGTCTTAGCAAGGGAGGGATGAATGGAAACAGGCACTGTCTCCCTTCGAGTCAGCTGATGTTCACCTGTGAAGGACTCTTGTCTCTGATACTCTGATGCTCCCACTGTTATAACAAGCCAGTGAAAGGGAGCCATGTAGATTGAGTCATTCAGGTTTTTCATCTGTTTTTAATTAAAGAATCATTTACCTTGGTGGTATGAAAGAATGTGGAGGAGAGGAAAGTTGGTATTTGGGCTATGCTGAAAAACTAAAAGCGATGCTCTCCTTCAGCCTAATGAACTTACTGTGTTACTGGGCAAAGAGAAGAGTATGTGCATGTACACAAATTGATGAACAATGGAATTCTAATTCCTAAAAGTGAGAAAACAACCTCAAGAATAGGAGTTTGTGTTAGTGCAATACCTTTTTGCTATAATTCAGAGGGCTACCCCATGCTTAGATTCTCTTCTATAGCAATTCTTACTGAGGAGAAAAATACAGAGGCCTGGTAGAAGGGAGGAAGTATTTTGAGCCCATCTGAGTCCATCTGACAGAGAAGATTTTGAGATGTCTAGGTTTACCCCCACCTCTGTGTTAGCTGGATGACTGCAGGCCAAGGAGGAAGCTGGGGGATACAATATTGTTTATTCAGACTCTTGCCTAAATTTCAACCACCTGAGGTTGAGCTTTAAGCTTCATTTTTTTTTTTTTCTTTTCCTTGTGCAAAGGTGCTCTGGCCAACAAAGTAAAGAGGAAAGACACACTGGCAATGAAGTTGAACCACAGACCCAGTGAACCAGAGTTGAACTTGAATTCTTGGCCTCGAAAAAGCAAAGAGGAGTGGAATGAAATACGGCACCAGATTGGGAACACACTGATCCGGTAGGCCTTAGTTAGAATACATTGATTTGATTTCGTTATGACAGTATGTATGTTGGAGATGTATTTTTATTTTCTGGTGAAGCATTCATTTATCTTTATGCCGTGGGTTGGTTTTCTTTTTTTTAATTGTAGAAGTAGCATAATTTTTAAAAATACATGTTGTGCCCAGTTGGGTATCATTTAAGAATTTGAAAATTAAACCATAAGACAGACATAAATTCTTTTTTTTTAAGTTTTAGAGAATTCAGGTGGTTCCTAGGACAGCAGGACTCCTCTGTCATGTATCCAGTTGCTCAAACATGAGTTACCAACCCAATTAACGATCACACCCCCATTTTTATTATACCTATTACACTTGTTCCATGTAACTGCCTCCTTTCAAAGTGTTAGTATATTTTTCAAGTCAGTTGGAACCAAAAGCATAGAGAAACTGAATATAGGCCAACTTCCTGCACATATAATACACATAAGATTTTAAGTATATAGACAGATGTTTGCCCAGCTTAGTTGTGTCTCTTGATAGAATGAGGAAAAGGGGGTGGAACTCTTGACCTATTACTTACAAAGTAATTAAGGATGCCCATTAACTAAAATATATTCTTCTCTCCTGTCTTGGACACCTGGCTTTGCTATTGGCCAAGATGACAGTCTTAATGCAAAACTGTGGCTCCTGGTTGTCAGCAAGAGACCATCAAAATTAGGAATTAGTTAAATATGGAGGTCTTTGATAATCTTATTTTAAGATGTATTATAAAGCTAAAGTAACCTAAACAGTATGATATTGACAGAAAGATAGACAAATACATCAAAGGACAAAAGGTAGAACCCAGAAATAGACCCACTCATATATCTACAAGTCATTATTGACAGAGGTACAAAGAATTTCATTGAGAAAGGATGGTTTTTTCCCACAAATGGTACTGGTGCAAAAATAATCAATTCATGCCTTGCATCATATGCAAAAATTAACTCAAAATGGATCATAGACTTAAGTATGAAAGCTAAAACTATAAAACTTCCAGAACAATATGGACCAAAGAATCTTAGATATGAACTCAAAAGCATGATTCTTAAGAGGAAAACATTTATAAATTCCACTTAATCAAAATTTTAAAATTTTGTTCTTTGAAAGACATTAAGTAAATGTAAAACAGCCCTGGCTGGTGTGGCTCAGTGGATTGAGCGCCAGCCTGTGAATCAAAGAGTCGCTGGATTGATTCCCAGTCAGGGCACATGCCTGGATTGCAGGCCGAGTCCCCAGTAGGGGGCATGTGAGAGGCAACTGCACATTGATGTTTCTCTCCCTCTCTTTCTCCCTCCCTACCCCTTTGTCTAAATATAAATAAAATCTTTAGAAAGAAAGGAAGGAAGGAAGGAAATGTAAAAACAACTGGGAGGAAATATTTTCAAACCATTTATCTGATAAAGGTCTTATATCTAGAATATATGAAGAACTCTCCAAACTTGATAAGAAAACAACCCAGTTTTAAAAGGGGGAGGAGCAGGTGATTTCAATAGATATAGCACCAAAGAAGACACACGTATGGCAAATAAGCAAATGGAAAGATGCTCAATCAACATTCTTAGTCACAAGGATGTGCAAATTAAAATCACAATGAGATACCACCACAAGCCCACTAAGAAGGCTAAACTTACACATTTTAAGACTGAAAATACCAAGAGTTGCTAAGAATGAGGAGCCAGCTGGATTCTCATACACTGTGATGGGAATATAAAATAGTAGAATTACTTTGGAAAACAACTTGTAAGTTTATTTTTTAAGAATCAAACATATACCTACATATGATCTAGCCATTCCATAACTATTTGTTAATAGCCAAAAATAAAAATAGAAACAAATACCATCAAAAGACAAATGAATGAAAAAATAATGGTATAGTCGTGCGATGGAATACTACACAGCAATGAAAAGGAATGAACTATTTATAATGCCACAGGCTGGGTAGATCTCAATAACTGAGCTAAGTGAAATGAGCTTGACCAAAATAAGAGTACATCCTGTATGATTATATAAAATTTTAGAAAATGAAAACTAATGTGTAGTGATACGGAGCAGATCATTGTTTGCCTGGGCAGGGAAATTGAGATTACAAAAAAAAATGAGAAGCCCTGGCCAGGTAGCTCAGCTGCTTAGAGCATCGTTTGATACTCTGAGGTTACAGGTTTAGTCCCTGGTCAGGGCACACACAAGAAGCAATCAATGAATGCATAAATCAGCAGAACAACAAATCAGTGTTTTTCTCTTTCTCTCTCTCTCTCTCTCTCTCTCTCTCTCTCTCTCTCTCTCTCTCTCTCATCAATAAACTAAAATAAACTAAAAAGGGCCCTGGCTGGTGTGGCTGAGTGGATTGAGTGCTGGCCTGCAAACCAAAGGGTCCCTGGTTCAATTCCCAGTCAGGGCACATGCCTGGTTTGCAGGCCAGGTCCCTAGTAGGGGGCACGTGAGAGGCAACCACCCATTGATGGAAAATAAACAAACAAACTAAATAAATAAAAAAGAATGAGGGGATTTCGTGGAGGAGATTGTAGTAGGCAGGTTTGTGCCTCCCTGAAAAGTCCTAACCCCTGATACCTATGAATGTGACCTTATTTGGAAGGAGGACCTATACAGATATAATCCAGCTAAGATGAGGTCATATTAGACTAGGGTATGTTATAATCCAGTGACTGGTGTCTTCATAGGAAGAAGGAAATTTAGACACACACACACACACTCCCCCAGGGAAAATGCTGTGTGACTATGGAGGCAGAGACTGAAGTAATGCACCTATAAGCCAAAGAATGCCAAAGATTGCTGGCAACCACCAGCTAGGTGAGAGGTGTGGAACAAATTCTCCTTTGGAGGCTTCACAAGGAACGACACGTGCCAACATCTTGATTTTGGACTTCTTGCTTTCAGAACTGAGAGAGATAAATTTATGTTCTTTTAAGCCACCCAGTTTGTGTGGTACTTTATTAAACTGATAAGAACAGATACTACACTTGATCTTAGCCAAAAGGCCGAGAAGCGATGTGTGTGGTACTTTATTATGGCAGCCGTAGGAAGCCAATACTAGGGTGATGTATATGTTCCTTATCAAGATTCCGGTGATGGTTTCTTTCTTTTATTTTTTTCAAAGATTTTATGTATTTATTTTCAGAGAAAGGGGATGGAGGGAGAGAGAGGAGAAACATCGATGTGTAAGAGATACATCCATGGGTTACCTCTTGCACGCCCCAACTAGGGACTTGGCCTGAAGCATGTGCCCTGACTGGGAATCGAACAGGCGACCTTTTGGTTTGCAGGCTGGCACTCAGTCCACTGAGCCACACCAGCCAGGGCCTGGTGATGGTTTCATAGGAGTGCACAGAAGTCAAAACATCAAATCATGCATTGTATTGTATGTCACTTATATATTAATAAAGCTGGATTTTTTTTTATGAACATTTTAAACAGAAGGTCTTATTCAGAGACAAGAAAAACGTTGACATAGATTAAGTTTATATTGTATATAAAATGGGGCTGGGAGTTCTCTATACAGACAATTAAAGAGTAATTAGCACATGGTTCAAATACTGAGAAGTGTAAAGGTTAGAAGTAAGTAATTTTCTGATTCCAAAAACGACACTTTGCTCATGGTAACATCTCAAAACTGTATGAGATGAGAAACTCTTAAATATCTGACAGAAAGGACCGAATTTTAAAATCTCGGTCCTTATCCAGGTTTCCTGAATCAGAGTTTCTCTTAATGTGCCTTGAGGATCTGTGGTTTTAGCAGATCCTGAAGGAGCAAATCCGTTTGGGAGCCGCCAGTGCAGTCCAAACCTTCGTTTTACAGAGGAGACCCTCAGGATCCGAGTGAGCCCTTTTTGTAACGATAGAGGTTGTTGGCAGCAGCCCTAGAAGTAGGATCCTGGCCTCCTGTTTACATGTGCAGTTCCTTTTTATGTTGTGACATCTGTATGAACACTTCCAGCGTGAAAATCGTTTCATAAACAGTGAATCAGATAAACAAATATCAAAACAGTTGGAAATTTTGTTGACTTCTTGCTAGTGTAGGGACTAATATAAATTAAGACCAACACAAATCCAAATAAACAGGATTGGGAAGTTTAAAATAGACAAATAATCCTATTTATCTCTTTTTAGGCGACTGAGTCAAAGACCAACCCCAGAAGAACTTGAACAACGAAATATACTACAGCGTGAGTCCAGCTGTGAAAATAAAGTTGTATAGATTTTCTTTATTTCTGACTTTAATATACATAACAAAGAGACGCATTTTCTGCAGTGGCCAAGGAGAGAGTGTTCCAGCCAAGGAAGGACTATTGATAGGAACAGTTTCCCCAAACTCTCTTTATGAGACACTGTTATGGTATTGCTTACTGAACCGGGATACTACAGAAACTTTAGCTTTAATGTTCTCACGGTACCCTGAGACTACCTTGGGCATGTGGGAGTATTTCACAGCGTATGGTAGACCCTGCCCAACTTTTCTCTTTCCTCAAGGAAGTAAAATGATGGCTGTGCATTTGGAGGGGACCGTCCTGTTCCTGGTGGAATCCAAGGGCGGGGGTCCCCCGCAAGTCCCAGATGCAGCAGACTTCTGCCTTTTTTGTCTCTTAAGACGTTCATACCTTTAAAGTCGCAAAATAGGACCATGTGTTTATTTTCTTTCTGTGTACATAATTAACTTTTTGAAATAGCATTCTAATGTAGTACAGATTTAGTTTTTCAGATTATAGGGTAAAATTTGACCCTAAAACTCTCCACACTGTAGAGGATTAGACATCACAGGGTTACTTGTGGGCATGCTCAGTTTGACCGACCCACCACTGTTCTCTCATCACTATTTGTATATATGCAACTTAACACTTAGTACATTTTGAAGTGTGGGAGTCTTTACAGACATATCACACAAAACTTAGTGTGGTCTCCATTCTCCATTCTAAGTGGTTACCTCTGAGCATGAATCTGCAAAGGTTTTTTTAAAGGACACATAGTAAATATTTTCAGTTTTGCAGGCCAAAAGCAAAAAGAAGCTATTATTTAGGTATTTTTCAAACCATTCGAAATGTAATCCTTTAAAAATGTAAAAACTAGTCCTAGCTCATGAGCAACTAGCCGGACTTGGTACCATAGTTTGCTGCCCTTGCTCTTGAGTATTTGACTATACCACTTGACAACAAAACTGTCTTGGTTAGCCATCCCCCAAGTTCACATTTTATTCTGGCTTGGACCCTTTAAGAAACATCTGCGCTGTAATTAATGAAGAGTTTGATATGCAGGTTGTCATTACGAAGTAATATTTTTTTGTTTCTGTCAACTGTAGCTAAAAACGAAGCTGATCGTCAGGCAGAGAAACGAGAGATTAAACGGCGGCTCACGAGAAAGGTAAGTGGCCCCAGTGTTCGGTTTCAGTCTGTCTCCTGAGTTCATGTCATACCTGAATGACCTATTTGATTGGAAAGAAATGATTTGACTTAAATTTCAGCAGATTGCTGTCAAAAGAGAATACATGATGCAAATATATAAAAGATTCTCAATAAATACATAAAATTTTACCTTTAATTTGGTAGACCTGGAATTTTGATGTAGGCTGTAAAACCTTTTGAAGTATAGAGATGGTAACAGGAGAAGTGTGTAGCATTCAATTCTGCGAGTCAAACTGGTTATTTTCTAATCAGGGAAAGAACTGAACTGACCCTTAGTAATATCTGAAAAGTATGAAAAACCAATTAGGATTTTTTCCTTGGTCTCAGATCAGTGTAGGTAAAATCTTTTTTGTATGAGCCATGTTTTAGCTTTTCTCTGGGATTAGTACCTTTTTTCTTCTTGCCATAATAGTTTGTGATTGCCTCCTGTAGATTCTGATTTGGTCTGAGCTCTCTAGGTATTTCTTAAAACAAGAATCCCCAGGAGAGTGAGGGATCTAGACATTTTCTTCCCAATTTCTCCCACTTCTCTCCTTCCCCAGAATCAGAGGAACTATCCTCGATAGAATAAGGGCAGCTAGAGGCCTCAGCTGGACTTAATGCCTTCAGATTGAGCAGGTTACCTGATTGTGTAATCTTAAATCATAATTTATTGCAGGATCTGCTGTCATTGTCATTGTTTGTGTTGAAATTCACCCTTAACATAGAAAACAGCACAGCATTACAAAGCTTTTTTCATTTTTACTATTTAATAAAAGCCAGGCACAAGATAGTGCTTTCTAGAACCCACTAGATAGTGCTTTCACCCACTAGATAGTGCTTTCATATGAAATGTATTCACTTTCTAATGTATTATAGGTGAGTTTATAGCCCTAATCCTTTTGCTACTCAGCATGTGGCACATGGACCAGCAGCATTGGTGTTACCTACAAGCTTGTAAGAGATGCAGAATTCAAGACCCTACCCCAGATCAACCTAATCAGAATCTACATTTTTACCAGATTTCCAAAAGTCTTGTATGCATGTTAAAGTTTGACAAGCGCTGGTAATACTGGTTACAGTGGTTTATAGCAGTGCTTTTCAATCTTAGCTGTGCATTCAGAAGCTTAAAAGAAAACAAAACTCAATATCCAGAATCTCTGGGCATGGACCTACGCATCAGTAGCGTTCAAAGGCTCCCTTGTGATTCCAGCGTGCAGCAAAGGTTGAAGCACTGGGTTCGAGGCAATTTGAATGCATGACTGATGCATGATTCCTAGCATAGTCAACTAAGAGGCTCCATTTCTTTCAGCTCAGTCAAAGGCCAACTGTGGCTGAACTACTTGCCAGGAAGATTCTGAGGTTTAATGAGTATGTGGAGGTAACAGATGCTCAAGATTATGACCGGCGAGCGGACAAACCATGGACCAAACTGACCCCTGCGGACAAGGTCGGTCTCTCTCTTTTTGCAAAACACTACAGAAAGGAGAACCACAAATAAAATTTTGCTTTTGATGTAATGTTAAATTTGTAATCAAGACAGAAAATGTCTAGATGTACAAACCAACACTTTATACCAGTGACTTAACCACCACCACAAAACTGGAAGAGAAAAAAGTCCCTGCTACATCACAGTACAAAAATCTGGAAGGAAATAAAACACCCTTTTAATGATGGTTATATTGGTTGGCTTGGATGGTATATTTTAGTAATTACTATATTACACTTTTTAAAAGGGAAACGTATTTTTACATGCTGTGGAAACTGTAAAATCTACAGTATCTCTTATAAGCTCTTCAAGTGTTCTGACTGAACTGGGGATTGTCAGGTTACTAGGAGGTGAACAGTGGCAGGCAGGGCAATGCGTGTTGGCTCAGAGCTCACCCACTGTGCTGACCTGGCTTCTTTCTCCCCTCGGGGTTGCCTGCTGCCGCTTACAGTGACTCACCAAGTTAAGCACAGTAGAGAGTGGATGGCAAATCACACTACACGATAGTAGACAGAAAATGCTGAAACTTTTTTTTGTTTGTTTTTACTCCACAGGCTGCCATAAGAAAAGAGCTGAACGAATTTAAAAGCTCAGAGATGGAGGTTCATGAAGAGAGCAAACATTTTACACGGTAAGAGCCAAAAGACCCAAATACTGTGAATTCTAATTTAAACGTTCCACCAAAAAGCAAACCTACCAGCAGAGTTGTTTAGATGGGAAGGATGCTAATGACATTGTTTAAAAGGACACTCAGGCCCTGGCTGGTGTAGCTCAGATTGAGTGCCGGCTTGCGACCCCAAAGATTGCCGGTTGCATTCCCGGGCAGAGCATGTGCCCAGGTTGCAGGCCAGGTCCCTGGTGGGGGGTGCGTGAGAGGAAACCACATATTGATGTTTCCCTCCCTCTCTTTCTCCCTCCCTTCCCCTCTCTCTAAAAATAAATACATAAAATCTTAAAAGGGCACTCAATGTTGATTGCAAGATTACATTAAGGAAAAGGGATGAGAATTTAGAATTAGTAGTAAATGCCTATTCTGAATGTGGCATTTTTATGTTTATCTTATTTAATCCTTGCAATAAACTTTCAAGGTGATAATATCCTCATTTTATTGATGAAGAAACAGGCTCAGAAGTGTTAAGTAACTAGCTTGACTTGCTAGTAAGTTGCAGAACGAGGATTTAGGGAAAGGAATAAATGACTTAAAAAGCCACTGGGAGCCGGTGGATGGGTAACTCAGCTGGTTAGGGCGTCGTCCCAATACACCAAGGTTGTGAGTTTGATCCCCAGTCAGGGCACATAAAAGAAACAACTGATGAAAGCATAAATAAGTGAAACAACAAATTAATGTTTCTCTTTCTCTCTCTCTCCCTCTTCTCCTCTCCCCTCTCCCCCCTTCATCTTCTCCCCTGCTTCTTTCTCCCTCCTTTTTTCTCTAACATCAATCAGTCAATAAATAAATAATTTTTTTTTTTTAAGCCACTGGGTTCTCTCTTCCCTGTGCCTGTCCCAGGTTATCTATGAGGAAATTGTTGCTGAGTTAGACAAGATCTTACCCTCTCCAGTTTCAGTTCTTTGTAGTACAATGATGTTACCAATTTCATATATAAACTTTAACTAGCTGTCTTCATGAAACAAGCCAAGAAATATTTTGATTGGAATTACTGGTGTGATTAAGGACCCACCCAGTACCTAAAGAATCAGCTAGCCAAAAATGAAAGTATTGAACCTATCTAGGTGACTCTCAGAACATCCATAAAAAGAGGCTAAATAAAGAAGATACAGCCCTGGCTGATATGGCTCAGTGGATATGAGCGCCAGCCTGCAAACCAAAGGGTCTCAGATTTGATTCCCAGTCAGGGCACAAGCCTGGGTTGCAGGCCAGGTCCCCAGTAGGGGGCGCACAAAAGGCAACCACACATTGATGTTTCCCTCCCTTTCCCTCTAAAAATAAATAAATTAAATATTTTTAAAAAAGAACAAGATACAATGCTAATTCCAGTTTACTATAAAAAGGAGTAATAAGCAAAGTTTTGGAAAGTAAAATATTGTTAAATATTTTTCCATCACAGTACAGGCAAATGGCTATTTTAATCAGTTTAATTATTAATAATGATAAATCTTTCCAGTTTGCAGGCCAGCGCTCAATCCACTGAGCCACACCCACCAGGGCTAAATAAGGATAAATCTTTACAAAAACCACGTGGAGTCCTGGTGGGTGTGGCTCAGCGGGTTGGGCATCGTCCCACAAACCAAAAGGTTGCTGTTCAATTCCCAGCCAGGGCACACGCCTGGGTTGCAGGCCAGGCCCCCAGTTGGGGGCGTGCAAGAGGCAACCAATCAATATACTTCTTGCACATCAACGTGTCTCTCCCTCTCTTTCTTCTCTCCCCTCCTAAAAAATAAGTAAAATATTTTATAAATAAATAAATAGGTTCTTTAAAAAATATAAAAGAGAAAGGCAGACAATAAACAAACTGGAAAGCAAATTATCCAACTGGAGTTTGATGAGCCGGTGCCACATTGAAGGCGGAGAGGCCTAGAATACAGTTGGATATTCAGCCTAGAGTGCAAGGGGAAAGCAAGGTCTAAAGGTAGCACATTTCTGAGAAAAGATGGTGGTTCTTAACAGGGAACTTGTTTCTAAAGATTGGACTGAGGAAAATGGACCAGGAAAGCATACTGAAGAAAAAGGAGAACTAGGGAAAAGATAGTATTATGGATGCCAAGAGAAGAGAGTTGTGAAGAAGGAAGGAAGAGGGTCAGGATTATCAGATGCTACAGAAAGGTCAAGAAGAATCAGAGTGGAGGAGAGGCATTTTTTAAAAAATTAAAATGTAATATTTCATTACCATTAATGTAATAATAGCAAAGGAATCTACAGTATCTGGTAACTTGGCTCTTTTTGATCTCCTCTTTTAGCTACCATCGTCCATGATGCTGAAGTTTGAGAAAGGAACTAAACAACCCCCCAAAACAGGGCTACTTTGCTGCTTTGGTCCCCAGAATGACAAGGCGGGAACTTGAGCACTCACCAGCACAGCCAGAATTGAGTCCTCTGGGGTGAACAGCACTTCTATGAATGTAGCATTTCACTGGAATGGATTCCCACGTGCTGCCTTGAGGAAAAACTGAACACTGTCAGTGCTTTGAACTTTTGAATATTGCAGCATATTTGAGGGATCTTCCCTCAGCAGCCACAAGCGACCTGGGCCACTTGCAGGTTCCAAGTTGTATTGGCTGCATCACAGCCTCGCCCCACAACGCCTGCCTGTGCTGAGACACAGTTCACACCATCAGCCTTACCTGCTCTGTCCTGGTTGTGAGACCCATTGTGTAGGCACTAAATTCCAGCCATGAAATCCAGTTGGTGGTGGGGAAAACCGAGGGCCCCAACCTTCTGGCAAAGGGGCACCCACTTCCAGGGGAAGCCTTCACACCACACTGGCACGTCAACATTGCACTATACCTCTTGTAACACAGCAATACAGTCCTTTTCAGGCCGTTGAGCCTGAAAGAAGCTCAGGATCTGACAAGTGCTTGCTTCCTTTTTGACACAGATTATCCTGATTTTTATTTTTTTTTAAAGTCTTGAAGTAGTAATGGAAACTTATGTTCACTCTGACCTGCAACCAGATTTCAAGTTGGAAAAGGGCAAAAGTATGTGTATTTTCTAAATACAAAACCAAAAGAGCATTTATGTTAATGCCAACTTGGCAGAAAACTGACCCATGGCCTAAATGTTGTACTTTTATTGTACCAAATGATAGCGTGCATCGTTTTGACCAATAGGTACATTCCCCTCCACAAAGCAGAGTCGTAGCAACTCTGGGAGCGCTTGTGTGCTGCCAGTCCCCACACTCTCAGGCAGAGTCACAGCAAGGTCCTAGGGGTGTTGGGCGCTAAATAGGAAGGGTCTTTCGAGAAATAATTAGGAGAACCGTCATGACCCACTGCTCCTCTCCCTCAGCACAAACGTCGGTCCTCTCCTGCTGCGCATCCCGGGCAGCTTCCACCTCACTCATCCCTACTCTTCCAGGTGTAGTTGGTGCCTGGGCATGGGCACAGCCCCCACTCCCTTTTTTTGTAATATGTAATAATACGATTTCCTAAAACATGATTCAGTTACCTTCTTTAAATTTGTATTGAAGACCTCACAGCCTCACTATTTCCCTCTAATTCCACACTAAGTGGAAGAAAAAAATAGTTTCTACTTAACTGATGAATGTGGCTGTTTCTCTTTCATGTTCAGAAAATTGTGGCTGTTTCATAGATTTCTTCTGCTGTCCCCATTGTTCTTTATGTAATTTCAATATATTTTTCTATCTTTCTCCTTTCATGTCAGTTCATATTTGCTGAAGAATCAGAATGTCATGTCAAAACAAAAAAGTTAAAGCAATCTTAAAGAGTAGTGTCCTCTGGAGAATGGGAGTTACTGGATTTCTCAGTTACTGTCAAGTCCTTTATGGCCATAGAGATATACTGGATTCACAGCTGCTTGAAACTTAACGTTTGGTAGGACTGACAGAAAGCTGAGTGACAACTGTACAAAGTTGTTAGAGGTCTGTATATAAGGTGGCCACACATTAACTGCTAACTTGACTTTTTCTAACCTTTCTATCTTGGTTTGGGGATTAGTTGGCTTATGCCAGAATCTTCTGTGGCTTATAGTGACATTTTCAAACAGTTCCTTCACTGCCTTTCTTTCCCCTAATGTGCCAAGCTTGAAGTGGGATTTGATTTCCTGAGTTACTTGTCTGCTTTCTATGTGCCACCAACGAATCTAGTTAATCTTTCATCTCATTCATGTTCTTTTGAAAGAAGACACTTTGGGGGTCAAGTCTTTTCAGGTGTTTAAAAAAAACATATATATATATAAAAGGATTTTATGTCCTTTCCATGTAAGTAACAAGTCACAATCATGCTGTATAGAAGAAATAAAAGCCTGATGTATTGTACTTCAAAATGCTTCCCTGATGTACAGAATCTCCTTGTAAAATAAGTAATTGCATTGTATATCAGTCTTCCTACCAACATTAATTATTAAAGTATTTTAGAATTTAAAAAAAAAACTATACTACTCTGGTATAAAGTGTTTATTTTATGTCCTACCTTATTCCAAAAGATTTAAGCCAGCTTAAAAGTGATACCCAACATACTGCTAGACATCCTCAATAAGAAGTAGATGGGAGGGGTTGAGGAGGAAGTAACAGTAAGAACATCAAGTGTAGCCAGAGATGAAGGTTGATCACGTTTGTGACTGTGCACACACATGGAAAAAGAATAGGCTTCAGAGAGGAAAGCCAACATGAATCCCATAGTATGTACCAGGTAACTGTATTCAGTCCTTTATCCTATTTACCCTAGTCTGGCAGGTAAGTAGAAATACTGCATTTTGCTGTATACACAATGCTCACCCACATTTTTGGCCGAAAATTTCAGGAAAAAAAATTTTAACTTTTTAATTCATTTTTTTTATTTATTTATACTTAAAACCAATTATCATATTCCAGGGTATTATTTTGCATATGGATATCATTGTTTTCTAGAGTTACACTTTTAACGCTTAAGCACAAATAAAAGAACTAAAAATAAAAACACAGATACAGAATCAGCACTACCCATGTATAATGCACACCCTTATTTTTCCCTAAAAAGTTTGGGCAAAAAAGTGTGCATTATGCATGGTAAAATACAGTACACTCATGCCTGTGAAGAACCTAAGAAGTGAAGTTGCATCCCCAAGGTCAAAGCACATTAGGTAATCACTCTGCATATATTCAAGGACAAGCAGTTGCATCCCAATCATCCCTACAAGGATTGCTTGTATGGACCACACATAATTAGACCTCAGACTGACATCACGGTAAGACAGTTCATACCTAATCTACTCCTCCCTGGCTAGCAGCCCAGTTTCATTCCTTGTGGCCTCCCCAGTGACTCACTTTCTACTTGCCACTTTGGAGACTGGCCTTGATTAGTGCACCACCCTTACTTTAAGCTTTTAAAGAAACCATGAGTCAGAACTCACATTGTTGTGTTCACTTCCTTCCAGATTTTCCTTCTATTAGTCCTCCAAAGATGCCTCAAATTGTCATTGCCCTTTTGAGGTTAAACATTGTCTCCAGAAGAGGGTTTTGCAGGAGCACCTTGCCCAATGTTGGCTGAAACAATGAGCGAGTTTAGTGTTCCTAAAGGATTTAGATTACCCAGGAGAGGGGGACTAGAGTAGAGTGAGAAGTTTGGAAAACCACTATCAAAAAGGGGCAGTCCAGTGGATATTGAGTGGGAGGGGATGAGAGAGAAAGTGTACTTCGAAAAGATGAGAATGTACAACAAAGACAAAAAGCCAAGCCCAGAAACCAAAACACAGCCAACTAATTTAATTCCATCTCTAGGAGGCCTGAAGGGAAAAGCAGGAACCACCAACAACCTGGACCACTTATATCTGTCTCTTGTGTGGATACCAGTAATTTCTTCCCCCAAGAATTTTTGCGTCCTTCATAAAACATATAAGTCATCTGACAGGAACACTCAATTTTCCCACCATCTGGTACTGAGGAGACACCATTATTCATTCATGCATTAATTTGTTTAATGTTTATCTCCTTCCTACCCTGCCCCCATCTTCCTTGTACCCTATTTTCTCTTCAACCTATTGCCCTACCTCCTGCTTTTCCTATACTCCATTCGCATAACCTATTTTAACACACTTCTGGAGGATGGGTGGGACAGGGGAAAGTGGTGGTGGGAAAACGGAAACAACTTGAACAACGTACTTAAACGACGTTGTACTTGAACAATGGCTTAAAAATTTAGGAAAAAATTTCTGCACAGTCCAAGCAGTTGAGCTAAATGAGTGATAAGTGGAGGAGAAAGACCTGATGGAGATGTAAACTGAACATCGGGCTTCTTGACAGTGGTTACGACCTCTGGTCTGCATGCACTGTTTTCCATTGCTAAAGCCATGTTCACTCAACTTACTGAAATCTAACTAAATCTTACCCTGGCTAGGTGACTCAGTTGGTTTAGAGCACAGTCTCTCCCATGCATGAAAAGGTTGCTGGTTTGATTCCAGTCAGGGCACATACCTAGGTTTTGGGTTTGGTCTAGACTCAGACAAGAGGAAACTGATCAATGTTTCTCACATTGATGCTTTCTCTTTCCCTCTCTCTCCCCCATTCCCCACTCTAAAATCAATAAACATATCCTTGGGTGAGGATTTTTAAAAAGTATTAAAATCTAAAGTAAATCTAAAATCAAAGTGGCTTTCCCTGAGATCACCAGTGACTTCTCAAGTAATTGCCACATCACAAGCCTGTTTCCAGCTCTTAATGTGTTTTGACTGCTCTGCAGCATTTGATATTTTGGACCATGTCCTTGTCCCCAAAACGCCTCCCTTGGCTTCTCAGACACCAATATCTCCTGATTCTTCTCCAACCATGTTTCCTCTGGCCTGCTGGCTTCTCTCCTGACCACCATTTAAATTACGGGTTTTCATGGCCTCTCATCACTCTCCCTGCTCTCCCAAGGTGACTTCAGACATCACCCTTATTCTTGTAACTTCTAAATCTTTATCTACAACTCAGGTTTCTCGCTGGAGTCCAACCCTATATCCAATTGCCCTTTGGTGATGATATATACATACATTCTCCGAATGTTCCCAACATAACTTACAGGCTCTTGTAATGTCCACCTCCATAGCCTACTTTCTCAAGTATTAGAGTGAGAGACCACCACATGTTCAGCCTCCCAAGCCTGAAACTGGTATTATCTGCAAGTTCCGCTCTTATCTAAAAGATCCAGTAGGACAACAAACTCTATGCATTCTCTGCCTCAGAAATGTCTCAATTTATATGTCTCCTCTTGCCTCGTTTACCATCCAAGTCCAAAGTCTGGAGAACTTTATAACCTCCAGTCTCTCCCATCAATCCTTTAAATTGCCACTGGAGTTATCTTTATAAAATGCAAAGACAGTCACAGTAATCCTTTACTTCAAAGCTTACTGACCTCCAGTTACTTAGATAAAATTTAAACTCGGCCTGGGCTACAAGATATTTTGTCATTCAGCTCTTGCCTACTTTCCAGTCTCATGAAAAATCCAGGCACTTCTCCCTTTAATCTTCCTCATCAAGCTGACTTCTCCCCCTTTCGGGGAGACGACAGGTCTGCTAGTTCCTCAACCTGGAATGCTGTCACCGGCCACACTCTACTGTCACCCCACATCTTTACAATTCCTTCAAGTTTAGCTCAAATTTTAACTTCCCAGGAAAACCCTCTTTGCCTTTAGCATATTGTTCAGTTGCTCTGTCCTCTCTGTTTTCCGCATACTGTATTCATGCCGGATAGCACTCACCAAGCAGCAGTGTAGTTTGCTGTGGTGTATATTTCCACATACCTTTTTCTACCCTTGAGAGCTTGTGGAGCTCTCAAGGGTAGAAAAAGGTATTTCATCTAGAGACCCCAGTGTCTGGCACAATGTCTAGCAAATGAGTCATATCCACGAAGTAAATGTTGAATGAGTATTTTGAAAGATAACTAAATGCTGGTAATACCACCAGAGAAGTAGCAGAATTATTTGCCTTTCTTCTTCTAAACGACTGGTTCTCAGACATTTTGGTTTTTTGGTCACCTTCACACCTTTAAAAATTATTCAGAAACCCAAAGAATTTTTGTATCTGTAGGTGATGTCTATTGATATTTACTGCAGTAAAATTAAAATTTTGGAATTTCAAAAATATTTACAATACCTTTCAAAATAACCCATTACATATTAACAATACATTTTTATGAAAAATATCTATTTTCCAAAAACAGTGAAGAAGAGTGGCAATGTTTTATATTTTTTGAATATCTCTTAAATGTCTGGTTTAATCGAAGACAGCTCAATTTTCATATTCACATCTGCATTTAATCTGTTACTGAATGCTGTTTTGGTTTAAGTAAATGAAGAAAATCCAGTCTCACCCAGATATGCAGTTGGTAAAGATGTCAGCTGTTCTTTCAAGTAAAATGGTATTCCGTGAACAAAATGTGGCTCTTTCAGCTCACAATCCAATTACATAAGTTCTTTTCCTGGAGGTAACCACTGTACTTTGGTATGCAGCAAAAGTGCTGTATGTATATTTCTCACTTTGTCACTCAGAAAATTAAAAAGATGGATAATCACAGTCAAAAATAAAATTAATGATTATGACTTCATCAATGACATTCTTAGATGAATGCAACTTTAAAAAAAACTATAAATGTATAATGATGAAAAGACACTACTACAAGTAGTTTGGTTACAGGGCGTGGAAACATACTGAAGCACCAGCAAGTTTACCCACGATTTCACTTTATATCAGTGCAGAGTCAACACAGTGAAAACGGTAAAGAATGTATTATTTTGAAATAGTTTTGACCTCACGGACCCCCAAAAGGATCTCGGGAACCCCAGTGTCTGCCAACTACACTTTGAGAACCACTGCCCCAGGCCTATTTTGCATCTTACAATCTGGGTAAAAATAACATTGTCTTAGAATTGCTGTAGTAAATAATGTATGTAAAACAAGCAGCACAAAATCTTATAGGAGAAACACCATAAATGTTTCTACTCATTATAATCTAGCTGTAATGACTCTATGTCAATTTATCTAACATTTATTTACCTAATATCATACTCGAAATTGTATCACATTTGTAACATTTCACCGTAATATATATCTTCAGAATTCTTTATTTTGCCTAATTCTTTATATTAGGTGTGTATCTGAAAACATACTTAACGTAAAGTTTACCATTTTAACCATTCCTACGTGTCCAGTTCCATGTGAATCGTACATTCACACTGTTGTGCATAGGAGGCTTTTAATTTTAGCCAATTCGCGTAGAAGCGCTTTGTCTTATTTACCTAGGGTTTTATCAAATGTTTATTTCATATGTAACAGGGCAGCTTCAATCTCTTTTTAGACTTTTCGCATTTCTCTAGATGTCTTTGTCTATTTTTCATACTTCTTACGCCACAGTCACTTGTGGAGAGTTTATTTAATGGCACATTCTCCAGGTTGGGTAAACCGAGTGTAGAATAGTAAATGCGCTATTAAAAAGTACCTACCCGCCTACATACTTAACTTAGTTGTGTAATTTACGATCCCCAACAAGTCGCGCGCGAAGGCTCTCCTCTCGCGAGAGGCCGGGTAGGGGTGGGGTTTAGCCGACTGTAGATTCCTAGCATCCTTAGCGAACTTCTGATCCCTTAACTGCGCATGGCATGGCGCAGGCGCAATAGACACATCCGCTCGCTTCAAAAGGTATAAATAAGGCTGACTTGGCACGCTCGCTCTTTTCGGGGAAGACCTTTGTTCGGCGTTGGTGGTTTTCGGTAAGTGTTTTTCCGCGTAATTTCAATTTCAGGTCTAGTATCTTGGGCCTGCGAACCAGCCTTTCCTGTGACGATAATATTTAGAAGGATTGCCTTCAGCGGCATCCGTGCTAACTGCTCTTAACTCGTGCAGTGGGGCTGCTCGGCTGTGGGCCGTGGAGGTCTCGCGATCGGAGGGTGATGACCATAACCAGCGGGCGCGAGCGCTGACCTACCACTTCAAGTTCAGCGATTTGCCGCGACGCTGAAAATGCAGCTCCACCCCCTCCCCCACCGCGTGGTCCAATTATTATCCTCCCGCCTAGCAGTCGCGTTGTCCTCCTCGGTGGAATTGCACGCTGGCCCTTTTATTCTCGAGCCCCATCCGCGTTTGAGGCCTGACTTCGATACGCAGGGCTCTTATTTTCTCCCGCCAACTTCCGTCATTTAGGAGTAGTTTCATGGCCCCAGATGGTCGCTTTAAAGATGAGATTAACTGCTGCCTAAACGGTCTGTGTTTACCATTTCTTTGGCAGCGTGGTAATCACATACTACAGTTTGAAGCGTGTTTCCTGTGCTTCTCTGAAAGTTAAGGATACTGACAAGGCAGCTGGTCAGTCTTGAACTTGGGTTTTGCTGTCTTTGGGAAGTTCAGGATGCACCACAACGTGGATATCCCTGGGAAGTCGCTGTGGCCTGCATGAAATTAATTTCTAGCACAGTAGACTGTGAATTAAGTTGCATAACCAACGTGGATACCCCGGGAGGTCACTCTCCCCGGGCTCTGTCCAGGTGGCGTAGGGGAGCATAGGGCTCTGCCCAGTGATGTACAGTCCCTTTCCACAACGTTGGAGAGAAAGCCGGGCCTTGAGTCTGCGCCTGCATATTCCTACAGCTTCTCAGAGTCCTTTGGACAATGACTGAGGAGACAAACCATGCAGGAAACATCTCTAGAGCAGCAGTTTTCAACTGGTGTACAGTACCTGCTTTAGTCAAGGGCACTGACCACCTTAGATTGTCGAATTTAAAAAATCAACTGCCAACACAGTAGCCGTTCACTGAATGAATGAAAAATAAGTTCTTTACCTACCTTATTTTGCAGCCATCAGTCAAGATTCCAAATAACTTGATTTGGGGTAAGTAAATTTACGAGTTTGATTTGGCATTTCATGAAGGTGCTGTTGCTGGTTAATGCATCAGAATAGAAACTGCTGCATTTTTGTAGGCATATTGACAATGGCTAAGATTTTCACGTTAACTCTAATTTGATACAGGAGAAATTTCTACTTAGCAAATGAAAAAATTGTGATGACTTGGATTGGCTTAACCAGCCATATCCAGACTAACACATGAGTCATTTAATGTGCCTGCCCCCTTAAAGTCCATCCACAGGAGACAAGGGGTTTGGTCTCTTGCACGGCCCCTTTTCATGGTATTGGGGTTTAAGGTGGGCATATGCACCTGCATACTCCTTCAACAATGAGTCAAATAATGGTGATTTATTGGATACACCGTGAAATAGTACATAGTAATGACTGGTTTGGAATCGGTTAAATTGAGCTACTAAACCAGGTTCTCTCCACAACTACATGTGTAGTATGAGATGAAGAAATCTCTCTTTTTTTCTTTATGGATATCTTTTCAAAAGGTTTTGAAGAGTAATGCTGTTGAGCAGTACTGTCTTTACTCCAGTTGGTGACTTACCAGGCAATGTGGATATCCCTGGGAAGTCTCTGTGGTCTGCATGAAGTTAATTTGTAGCACAGTAGACTGAATTAAGTTCCATAACCAACGTGGATACCCCGGGAGGTCACTCTCCCCGGGCTCTGTCCAGGTGGCGTAGGGGAGCATAGGGCTCTGCCCAGTGATGTACAGTCCCTTTCCACAACGTTGGAGAGAAAGCCGGGCCTTGAGTCTGCGCCTGCATATTCCTACAGCTTCTCAGAGTCTTTTGGACAATGACTGAGGAGACAAACCATGCAGGAAACATCTCTAGAGCAGCAGATTTCAGCCATTGTGCTGCAAGAGTTTTTAAAATACATAGTACCTGGCTTTAGTCAGGAGTACTGGCCTCTTTTCCCTTAAGATTGTCAAATTTAAAAAAAAAAATAATAACCAGTACAATATCTGTTCAGTGTTAATGAATGAAAATAAGTTCTTTACCTTGTTTTGCAGCCATCAGTCAAGATTCCCAATAACTTGTTTTGGGGTAAGTAAATTTAAGTTTGATTTGGCTTTTCATGAAGGTGCTGTTGCTGGTTAATGCATCAAGGTAGAAATTGCTACATTTTTGTGGGCATGTTGACGGTGGTTTAGGTGTACGTTCATGTTTTGGGGTGATGCCCTTTCCCCCCAGTAATGCTGCTAAGATTTTTCACATTAATTCTTGTGGTGGAGGAGAAATTTCTACTTGGTAAACGAAAAAATTGTGATAGTTTCTCACGAATTATTTAATGTGCCTGCGCCCTCAAAGTCCCATCATGTACAGCCTTTTTTCACAGTATTCGAGTTGAAGCAACAGTGATTAATTTGATAAACCGTGAAATAGTGCATGGTAATGACTAGTTTGCAATTGATTAAAATGAGCTCCTAAACAAACAAGCTCTTCCCACAACTACATGTGTAGTATGAGATGAAGAAGAAACCTCTTATTTTTTTTTTTTTATGGATATCTTTTCAAAAGGTTTTGAAGAGTAATGCTGTTGAGCAGTACTGTCTTTACTCCAGTTGGTGACTTACCAGGCAATGTGGATATCCCTGGGAAGTCTCTGTGGTCTGCATGAAGTTAATTTGTAGCACAGTAGACTGTGAATTAAGTTCCATAACCAACGTGGATACCCCGGGAGGTCACTCTCCCCGGGCTCTGTCCAGGTGGCGTAGGGGAGCATAGGGCTCTGCCCAGTGATGTACAGTCCCTTTCCACAACGTTGGAGAGAAAGCCGGGCCTTGAGTCTGCGCCTGCATATTCCTACAGCTTCTCAGAGTCCTTTGGACAATGACTGAGGAGACAAACCATGCAGGAAACATCTCTAGAGCAGCAGTTTTCAGCTGGTGTTGCCACAAGAATTTTTAAAATATGCAGTACCTGGCTTTAGTCAGGGGCACTGACTTCTCCCTTAAGATTGTGAAATTTTAGCCCTGGCTGATGTGGCTCAGTAGTCCGAGTGCTGGCCTGAGAACTGAAAGGTCACTGGTTCAATTTCCAGTCAGGGCACATGCCTGGGTTGCAGGCTGAATCCCCCAGTTGTGGGTGAGCATGAGGCAACCAGTCGATGTATCTCTCAGGCATTGGGTGATTTCTCTCCCTCTTTCTCCCGCCCTGTCTCTAAAAATAAATAAATGAAACCTTACAAAATAAAGATGATCAATTTTTTTAAAAAATGACAACAGCCAACACAATAGCTATTCAGTGTGAATGAATGAAAATAAGACCTATGCTACCTTGTTTTGCAGCCTTCAGTCAAGATTCCAAGTAATTTGATTTGGGGTAAGTAAATCTATTAATTGGTTTTAGCTTTTCTGGAAGATGCCATTGCTGGTTAATGCATCCAGATAGAAAAATGTTGTGTGTTCGTGTTTTGGGGAGATGGCCTTTTTCCCCCCAGTAAAAGTGTTAACCGGTCATATCCAGACTAACACATGAGTCATTTAATGTGCCTACCCCCTTTAAAGTTCATGTGCAGGAGACGAGGGTTTGGCCTCTTGCACAGCCCCTTTTCATGGTATTGGAGTTGAAGCTGAGCATATGCACCTGCATATGCTCCAACAATGAATTGAATAACAGTGATTGATTAGGTAGATACACTGAAATAGTACATAGTAATGACTGGTTTGGAATCGGTTAAATTGAGCTACTAAACCAACAGGTTCTCCCCACAGTTAACATGTGTAGTATGAGATGAAGAAACCTCTCTAATTTTTTTTTTAATGGGTATCTTTTCAAAAGGTTTTGAAGAGTAATGCTGTTGAGCAGTACTGTCTTTACTCCAGTTGGTGACTTACCAGGCAATGTGGATATCCCTGGGAAGTCTCTGTGGTCTGCATGAAGTTAATTTGTAGCACAGTAGACTGAATTAAGTTCCATAACCAACGTGGATACCCCGGGAGGTCACTCTCCCCGGGCTCTGTCCAGGTGACGTAGGGGGAGCATAGGGCTCTGCCCAGTGATGTACAGTCCCTTTCCACAACGTTGGAGAGAAAGCCGGGCCTTGAGTCTGCGCCTGCATATTCCTACAGCTTCTCAGAGTCTTTTGGACAATGACTGAGGAGACAAACCATGCAGGAAACACCTAGTATGCTAAGATTTAAAATTCTTTTAAATTTTAGATTCTACACGGTCTGTCCGGAAAAGGTCCAGCCATTGTTAATATAACAAGAACTGATTTCCTGGCAGCCAGGGAGAATGGACTGGAATGCACATGCATGAACAATGAAGACCTCACTGTACTAGTGAGTGGGCAGTATACGCCATTGAGTGAGTGTCTGGCCATCACATTCAAAATGACTGAGCGAGTAGAGCAACGAGTCTGCATCAAATTTTGCGTTAAGCTTGAACATTCCTCTGCGGAAACTATTAGGATGATTCAGAAGGCTTTCGGGGACGATGCAATGAGTGCAGCACAAATAAAAGTGTGGCACAAACGCTTCAAAGATGGTCGAGAGTCTGTTGAAAGCGATCCGCGTTCTGGAAGGCCTGCAACAAGCAGAACACCTGAGAATGTGGAACGTGTGCGGGCTGCAATCAACAAAGATCTGCGGCTGACAGTGCGAGAACTAGGAGCTGATCTCGGGATTCCTAAAACTACGGTGTCCGAGATTTTGACGCATGATCTTCGCATGAAACGTGTTGTGGCGTAATTCATTCCATGGCTTCTGCTACCAGAGCAGAAAGAACATCATGCTGCCATTGATAATGACTTGATTCAAACCACTGCTAGTGAACCAGATTTCCTCAAGAAAGTCGTAACTGGATATGAATAGTGGGGTCCAGGGCTATGATCCAGAAGTGAGGCCCGGTTGTCCGAAAGGAAGGTGTCATCTATCACAGGTTCACTCCTCCAGGCCAAATGATGAGTACTACCTCTGTTCGTCTGTTGAGAGAAGCAGTACGATGAAAACAGCTGCAGCTGTGGGCAACTGGCAGCTTCTTCATGACAGTGTGCCTGCTTGTGCATCACGTCTCATGTAGAGTTTTTTGGTGAAACATCAAATCAGCCAAGTGGCTCAGCCCCCACTACAGCCTAGATTTGGTGGCACCCTGTGACTTCTGGCTTTTCCCAAAGCCTGAAACCACCTTTGAGAGGAAAGAAATTTCAGACCATTGATGAGATTCTGGAAAATATGATGGGGCAGTTAATGTCAGTTCCGGAAAGGATTTTGCAGAGTGTTTTAACTGGAAGAGACACTGGGAGAACTGTTTGAGGTCCCAAGGTGCCGAATTTGAAGGGGACTGAGGCGTCATTGTCCTGTGTGCAGTGTTTCTTGTATCTTGTGTCTTCGATAACTGTCTCCATGTTTCATAGTAAATGGCTGGATACTTTCTGGACAGACCTCATAAATATGAGCCTAATCTTTTTTTCTGTTTTCATTCAGGAGAGAAGAGGAGCCTCACCTTAATTTTTGGCAGCTGGCAGTGCTTTTTGGGTCCTTTATTTGACAGTGCAAGTTTGTAAAGTGATGCTATTTTTTGACAGTTAGTAACTGCCCTTTGGGGAGTAAAGGGGAAATAGGAGGACAGAAATGCAAATTCTTAGGCATAGCTCCAGATCTTTATTAAGAACTGATAGACTAATAGAATGTTCTAATGGCCAGGTGGCCCATTTAACTTTATAAGGAAATTGCAGAATGCACTTTAGTATAAGAAGGTCATTAAAACAGTATGGTCCATGGACCTAGGCGCCCCAGAGAATTTTTTTCAGAATGCCTGAGGTGAAAAATTTAAACTTAAGATGATACTTGGCCTTTTTAATCCTCAAAGTTGGTTCTCTAACTGCACTGCTGAACAGAAAGCAGAAGCCCATGAGAACCTAGATACTTTTTTTTTTAAGTTCCATTTTTAATTTACTTATGAGTTACAATAAAGGTGACTATATACATTATGCATTAGTGTGGTTTCTTTTTTGTGTGGATGTGTGATTGACTTGAGTCAAAAGTACCCCATGAATGGAGTAGTGTAGCAGTAATGCTGCAAGCCTTCTTAGCTCTTGGCTGTCCTGAGTATCCCCTTGTACTCTGTGTTTAACTTGATCTTGGCACTTGACCATGGGGAAGATGCAATTAGACGGATCCTCACCTTCAGTTTCCCGTGATGTACAGGCAACTTGATGTCGACAACTACAAGATTGGTTATTAGTGTTAACACAGCTGTTCGGTTAGTTAAACCTGTTGCTGGCATCTGAGTGGCAAACACCTGAGCCTGGAAGGAAATTGCCAATAGGTGATGTGAGGTTGAGTCACAATGGAAGCCTGGTCAAACCTTGGTACAGTCTGCCTGTGTTGCAGGGAAGTAACAGGCCCTGCAGGATGGGGACTGGCAGGGAACCATCTGGAAGGTAGAGTCTAGGCCCTGGTGGGGCTAAGTGAATGTGGTGTGGGGAAGTAGAAAAGCTATAAGACCACTGGAGGCAGATTTCAGGGAAGTGAGTGAATAGGAGTTTGGTGGGTTAGGGCTCAAACTTGATAAATGGAATGTCCAGATGGAGAATTTCACAAATGGTGTTCAGGGCCAGAGGGTTAATTTCAGGAATGGGAGCTATTTCATACAGCTGTAATTAGGGAGAACAACCTGGGAGAGCTTTCTTGCTGTTTCTTTTTTTTCTTTTTTTTTAAATAACATCTAGATTATCTGCCTAAACAAACAGCATTTGCAGTACTTAGTTACAAGTGTTTGCATATGTTAATCCCTACAACTCTACAGTGGATAGTAATCTATGCCAGTGTCACATGAGAAAACTGAGGAACAAAAATGCTAAATTGCCCAAATCCACAACTAGAAAGTAGAGCCTCTGTAACAGTTACCAAATCCCTGCAGATTTGGCTGGGAGGGAGCCAGATGCAAGGCAGGGTTCTGTTTACCCACAGGACCACCCCAATATCCAGCTCTCGTCTTGATATTGGTTGCCATGTACTGTCTTCAGAGTGCTCAGTGTAGTGTTCGCTGTTTCCCTAAAACCAGATTGTCTCTTAAGTGTTCAGTACAAATTCTTGGTAGGGCTTCGTAACTAATGCTGGGCAGGAAAGATGTATTTTTTCATTATGTCCAAGTGTAGCTGAAGCAAAGCTTTCAGCAAGTGGTGTCGGTCCCACACTTTGTGCTGAATTGTATCTTGCAACATACCTCTCTATAGACTTTCTAAACAGGCTTTTCTGGCCTTATCCTACATGTAGGCAATCATACCATTAGTTGCCAATCTTGGAGTCAAACTGCCTTGGTTTGAATCCTGATGCTTGCTGTCCATGTGAACTTGGGTAAGCCATTTAACCTCTGCCTCAATTCCCTTACCCATAGAATGGGGATGATTGAAAGTACCTACCTCGGGGTTGTAATGAGAAATGAGTTAATATTTGTAAAAAGCTTACTTCCAGTCTCAGTAAGTACAATGAGCTTGTTAAAAACATTCTCTGCCTTCTGAAGCAAACTAAGGATAGATACAGTATCCAGTAACTTGTTGAATGAATACCACCATTGATTTACTACTAAACCAGGCTTCTATCACTCAAAGCCACACTACCTTTCCAAGAGAGGTAAAAGGGGAGAATTGTAATTAGTAACTTGCCCAGGATCACCTGACTAGTAAGGTTTGGACCAAACTCCAAAATGATACCATAATATACTGTTATCTTTGAACAAGACTGTGGTAAGATACAGCATTTCATCTAACACTCCATGTACCTCTGTAAAGTAGGTACTCTGTGCCCAATTTGCAGATGAGGAAACAAGTTGGAAGATTTGAGGAATTTACCCAAGTTACACAGCCAGTAAGTGGCAGAGCAAGAATGAGTAAGGCAATTGACTACAGAACCCATACTTAACCTACATCATCACACCTCAGAAAACATTTCCACCAGTTTAAATCGCAGAACTTTTGTGCACTAAGCTAATGTAGTAACCACTATACCATAAAAACTCAGTTGCATGAATTATGAGTGTAGTTTCCTGGGGATCAAGAGCCCTGCCCTGGCCATGTCTCCCTTTTTCACCCCATTTTGTCTGTTCATGTGTTTTATGATGGATGGAACCCACTCTATGACAGTACCTGACATTTGATGAGCACTTGCCATGTGCCAGGCATTCTTTAATCCTTTTAACAGCTCTGTGTGGCACAGGGACTTTTATTAAATCCACGCTATAGGAAAGGAAGACAAAGATTTGCCCAAGATCACACAGAATGGGACTTCAAGGTTGGAGTCTCTAGAGCAGTGGTCCCAACCTTTTTGGCACCAGGGACTGGTTTTGTGGAAGACAGTTTTTCCACAGACCTGGGGTGGGGGATGGTGTAAGGGTGATTCAAGCACATTACATTCAAGCTCACCTCCTGCTCTGTAGCCCAGCTCCTAACAGGCCTGGATTGGTACTAGTCCATGTCCCAGAGGTTGGGGACCCCTGCTCTAGAGCCCGAACTCTTAACTGCCATCGCACTTTCCCTTCCCCTAAGCATCTGGCACCTTGAACATTCCATCGTGACAATGAGCATTCTGATGTGATCATTTTCCAATTGATCTTAATAGTTGGGAGAGCCTTGAGTACATACTAATGTGCCTGGCACATTGCAAACACTGGTCAATGACTTTTATTGTTTTTCTGTGTTCTATTTCATTAAGTTCTGCTTTGATCTTTGTTATTTTCTTCCTTCTGTTTTCTTGGGGTTTAGTTTGCTCTTTCCTAGTTTTTAAAATTTATGTATTTACTTTTTGAGAGAGAGGGAGTGAGAAAGAGGGAGAGAAACATGTGAGAAATGTATCGATAGGTTGCTTCTTACACGCCCCCAGCTGGGGACCTTGGCCTGCAACCTGGGCATGTTGCGACTGGGAATTGAACCAGCAACCCTTTGGTTAGCTGGCTGGCACTCAGTCCACTGAGCCACACCAGCCGGGCCTTTTCCTAGTTTCTTAAGTTAGAAATTGAAGTCATTAATCTGAGACTTTTCTTTTTTTTTCCGACATAGGCATTTAGTGCTATGAGTCTCCCCCCAAAACTGCTTTAATGATATCCCATAAATCTGTTACGTTGTATTTTCATTTTAATCCAATTTAAATACTTTCAACTTCCATTTTTATTTTTTCTTTGATATGGGCTACTTAGACGTATGTCAGTTTTTTAATATTTAGGAGTTTTCCAAAGATCTTTCTGTGATTGGTTTCTACTTTAATTCCATTGTAATCTAAGGATATATTTTGTATGACTTGAATCCTTTTGAATTTACCAAAACATTCTATGACCCAGAATATGATCTACCTTGGTAAATGTTTCACATGCACTTGAAAAGCATGTGTCATTTATTGTTGTTTGAAGAAAGCAAGGTATGGAGTATGAAGAAAGGTGAAGTGTTCTATAAATGTCAGTAGTCAGTAGGCTCAAATTGGTTGAAAGTGTTCAAGGATGTTGTATTACATCCTTGCTGTTTTTCTGCCTCCTTGTCCTATCAATTATTGAGAACCGGGTAACGAAATTTCCAGCTATAGCTGTGGATGTGTCTTTTTCTTCTAGATGTTCTATCAGTTTTTGCTTCAAGTATTTTGAAGCTCTGTTGTTAGTTATACATTTAAGATAAAAATTGATTTGGGGGGTTCAAAGAAGGAAAAGATAAGCAGGGCCACAGAAGGCTTCATGGATACGGGAACCGAATTGAACCTTAAAATATACCAAGAATTCAGCTAGGTAGGAAGAAAGGTACCTGGTAGGAGAACAGCCCAGATAAAGGTGAGAAGGAGGGGATGATAATGGGTACCTTCAGAGTGTGGTGCTGAGGCTAAGGGGGACATTTGCTACCTGATACTGCAAGCAGAGCACCAAAGAAATGTCTAGGTTTTCAAAGATTTCTAAACCGGGCAAGGTCTCACAGCCGTGATTTAGGGAGACTAACCTGGAGATGATGGTGGAATGAAATGGAGGGAAAGAAATGAGGGGTGGGGGCCAAGGTCAGGAGGGGGATGCTTCCAACTGAGAGGGATAGAAATAGATGAAGAAGAGAAGGAAGAGAGGACACAGAAAAGAAGTTTAGGTTTGGATCTATACTTCTTAGAGAACCTTAACTTCGGCTGGAAGGATGAAGTTGCGTGGGGAGACAGTCTGGATCCTGGGTGCTGGGTCATCTGGGTAGGGATGCAGGGCTGAAACTCAGCATGGAGCTCAGAACCAGACTGGATGGACTGCCCTCTCAATTAAAAAGTGATGGCTCAGCTCTGGACAAGAGATCTGGCCCCTTCCTGCCACTTATGTGATGACTCCAGAAAACATCCTTAACCTCTTCGAATCTAATTTTTCTAATTTTTCAAGTGTTAACGAGGTTTTTGTGAGGAACAAATATGCTAATGAACATGAGTGGACATATTTCTGTAGTTAAAAAGTAAAGGGTGTTACAAAATAGGTGATAAATATCATTTTTATAATTACATTAAGCCATGTGAATGAGTAAGATATTGGCGGAAGACAGCAGAGAGATCAGAAATCCCAGGGCTTAAACTTGGCAAATTTTCACGGTACTATATCATCCAAAGGAGGAGTTCGTGATGGAGGCAGAGGTACACTTGAAAAGGTAAGGGGTCCCCAAGATGGGGAATAATTTGGGGTGGGCTCTGCATAATAAAAGAAATTCACCTGGTAAATACTCATCAAAAGTTTCCATCTATTTGGGTATGATGGAATGATTTTCAGAGTTAGAATCAACATGAAATGGAGAAAATACCATCTGCAGAGGTCACTGCCCTGACTTGGGAAACCACCCAGTCACATGGCCTCAGAGGTCACCTCAGGGAACACCTGAAATCTTCACGAACTGTTTGTGTCCATCCTGAAGAACGAGTGTGTTAACAAGAGAGGGTCATCTGCTTGGTGCCTATTTTCCTTTTCCAGACCCCAACCC